ATGTTCTTATGCTTGTGTTTTCACTATGTCCTCGATACAACGCAAGATAAAGCGCAAGCATAAACAACAACATAAGCGAAAAGAACGCATAAGAAGTCGATACGTTTGATCCTTAACTCTTATGCTTTAATTTGTTTGCGTCGCAGTTAGGACAAGGCTTTAAAGAATAGATTTTCTAAAGAAAGAATCAGAAATGCTGATCACATGCATTTGTTCAAGTCAACCAATGTCAAAAATTGTTCATTTGAGGTTGATATTTCCTCAGTTATATGTCAGTCATTTGTTATCTTCCTTTATCCCGTGGAATTGTCTTTCCAAGACACGACTTCCTTGACATTGCCATTATGTGACAGTTGAGTTGTGATTATCTCTTCCAAAACAAGTTTCAAACTGCAGCGAAACATCGTAAGTGTCTCTCGTGATGGGCATACATGAAGTAAAAGTATTATACAGTCGGCGAAATTTGGGGATGCTGGCCCTGTGGATGAAGTTTGCAAGCCTGAGAGTTGACAAGACATGAGATTTAAAACCATGCTACAGAAGAATGAAGAAGCAGAACATGGGAACTCTCGCAAAAGAAACCTTCGTTGTGATCGAACTTATGAACATGTTTTGAATATTGCAATATTGTTAGACTTTATGCAGTGCATACCTTAGCTCAAGAACACATTTGAAACACGAAACTTAATAAGTGTAAATAAAAACGGTTGTTGATAGAGGTTTTAGTCAACAACACGTTTGAAACACGAAACTTAAGGTTACAGGACACCCTTTTTGGCGTTTTTCGGAAAATCGCTACTGCGCGCTCAAGATCAGTCCGATTTTCATCAAATTTTCACCAAATGTTCTCCAGTGCATGCAAAATATGGTAAAGGTGTAAAAATGACAAACTATAAAATAATGTAAGAATTATTCCGGAAAATCTTAAATCGCGGTACCGTTACGCTTTTGAGTTGTGCTCCTGCTGGTTTTAAGTTATATTTATGAAAATATCATTTTTATACAGTAAAATAGTTGTTCTAAAAAATTGTGTTCG